CTCGGCCGGGCAGTCCTCTCCAGGCGGGTCCGCCGAGTGGCGGTGAGGATGCGCGCCCTGGAGGCGTCGCAGCGGCCCCCGCAGCAGCGGCCCCGCGCGGCGCAGCCGCAGCGCTCCCAGAACGTCTACAGCGCCTGCCCGCGGCGTGCTCGCGAGGCGGATGCCGCAGGTGAGCCGGCGGCTGGGCGAGCCAGGAACGGGGACAGCCGGTCGGGGCGGGACAGGCGCCGGACGGAGCGGGACCCGCGAGCGCGGTGCAGCCGCAGAGGCCGCCCGGACGCTGAGGGTGCGCCCGGAGCGCGGCGCGTCCGGGAACTCCCCGCGCCCGCCTTTCCGGCGGGGGCGGGCCAGGGGGCGGGGCGAGGCGGGCCGGGGGCGGGGCGGACCTTCGGCCACGCCCTTACCTCTGTCTCCTGTGTCCTTAGGTGAGCTGGAGGCGCCTCTCCCAGGCCCTGGAGCGTCAGCACCCGCCGCGCCGCAGGTAAGCTCCACCCCTCCCCTGATTGGCAGCCGCGGCCCTGAGGCGGTCCCCAGACCCGGGTTTGGCCCGAGGAGGGGGAGCGGTTCCTTGAGCTGCCTGTTAGCTGAAGGGCGTGGCTTTCCAGGCAACTCCTGGGGCCCCGAGTCTGGAAAGATGTGTTACTTTCCTCCTTTGGTGGTGTCAGTAGACGGACTGCCCACCAACTGTCCTAGATTTCCTTACCTGGCTTACGTCGCGAAGCATTACCGTGGGGTAGATGGATGCTTAGTAGAGGCCATAGATGGCAACTGCAGAGAAGGGCTTTCGTGTGGAAGAGCTGCAATTTCCAGGAGGTCCTAAGGGAGTAGGATCTACCCAGTTTTACCTTAATATGAGGGAGAGCTTTCTAGTAAACTCTCTAGGATGAGAGGAGGTAGTTTGCCCATCACTGGAGGCAGTAAACCTGGCCCAGAGGATGGCTTGTCAGAGGTCAAGATCTACATAGGATTCAACCCATGGGTGAGGAGGATTCCTGTGGAAATATAGGAATGGACACAGGGAATTGGCGTTTCTATTGATGGGCGTTGGCAGATGGGTAAAAAATGTTTAAATTGTTCTTTCATCCTTGTTTATCCAAATTAAGAAGAGAAAATATTATCTTCTCTAAAGTAGCCCATAGTAGTCAAAAATACTACTGCCTCAGGAACCAGGAAAAAGTAAGTATAGCAAATGTTCCTGTTTTATTTAGGGTGTAGACTAGGCCAATGCAACAGACCCTAAACCACAGGGCTCACAAGATGGAAGCCTAGTTTCCTCCCAAGTTGAGGCGGGGGCCAGGAAGAGGTGACCAGAGCCACTAGGTCATCCAGGGACCCAAACATCTTCTGTCTTGTCACTCCACCATCCTCTGAAGTCTAGTCTGGTCCATAGTCAATGCTCAGTCACCAGCACTATGTCTACATTCCAGCCCATAGGAGGCAGAAAGAGAAGGGTGCTTCCCTAAGACCATGACCCTGAGGTTTCATACATCACTTCCAGTCATATCCAATGGGCATAACTTAGTCATGTAACCACACCTGTCTTCAAGGGAGGCTGAGGAACATAGTCCCTAACTGAGCAGTTGTGTGCTTTGCTAAAAAGGGACGGTGATGCCCAGCAACAAGTAACTGCTCTGCCAGTTATCTCTAGCTTCTTGCCCTTGCTCTTACCCACTCCTAGAGAAGGTTCATAGTTTAGGTATGATCCAGCAGCACCCATCTTCCCTTACATCAGCCCTTTTCTCTTGAACTTCCCTGTGGCCACACACTCCCCTCACCTGGGCCTGTAGTTTGCTCAAATCTTATCCTTCTTCCCTGCTTAAAACTCTCATTCCCACTATTAGGGATGAAATCTAGACCAAACAAGTCCGTAACAAGGTGTGTAGGGTTAAATGGCTCTATATTTTAGCTTTCATAGGGAGTTTCTTAACTTTTCAAGCAGAATAAATTAATCTCAAATGGTGAACTGTAACAAGGCATAGGAGATAACTTTTTGAAACAAACTGCGGCTCATTCCCTCTCTGGTAAAGTACACAAAGTCATAGTTCTTTCCCATTAGTACTTCCTGAACCTCCTATGTTCACGGGGCTGGACTCCTGGTTCTCGGCACTTGTATTGCAATGAGTGACTCTCCCTACTGAAGTCTTCTTGGGTGGATGCCACAATAATGGTGAAGTGTGGGGTCATGGCACAACACTGTCCTCCTAAGAACTGACCCATCCCGAAGGCAGATGATCCTGAAGTTTCTGTCCGAGGAAGAGGAGCACCACTGTGCCCAGGTGGCATGCTGCCTTCTTCCTCTTCAGTGCCCAGCCCTTTCCTGGAATACACGGTTATGACACACCACAGCTCCTCTGAGTCCTTACGGAGGTGCAGGGGATGACTCACCCTACTCCTGAATAACTGCCAAAGAAGATGCATATTTATTCCACAAGTTACACCATCTAATCCTAGAAGGGAAACTCCTCTGGTAGCTGAGTCTCCTTCAGCCACATTCTTAACCACGTGATTATAGCCTGCGTTCCATTTAAGGCATTTCCTGCCCATATTAGAGCTAAGTGTTTTCCAGTTATCTGAGATGAGACACCACCCTGAAACTCCCCAAGGCCGAGCCCCTTGGTGAAGCTCAGCCATTTCTGTGTCTTTGCCTTCTGGAAATCAGCAACCATGTATGTACTGCCCCCCCCCCCATTGTCCACTGTGGAAATCTGTCTGGAGAGATACTTAAAATCACCCTGCCCAGATCACCCTGCCCAGATCCAGTGATGCTTCTTTGGTTGTTCCCAGGTATCTGAAGCCCTCTGGCTCCACCCCCCGTCTCTGAAGAGCAGCTGTGAATATGTGAGCCTCTACTACCAGCCTGTCATCAAAGCCAAGGACACTGATTCAGATGACTATGTCAATATTCCCTGCCTGACTCACCTGTCCAGCTGTCCCCCTGGGCCCAGACCTTGGTGCCAATGAGTCTTGTCTCTCTGTTGGTTTCTAATACCTGCCCTGTTTTCGGAGCCCTTATTACCTGCCACACTAACCTGAAGTCTTGTTGCTGTCTCTCCTGAGCATAGCTCTGTACGCCCTCCCCGCTCTTCTTGTGCACCTCCACAGCCCCCTGTGGTTTTCAGGTGGGCTCTGGGCATGCGGAGAGTTTGTCCCAGTGCTACGTGCTTCCTTTCCAAGCCATGGGATTTGCAGAGTGCCTTTGATCACAGGGTCTTTGCTGTCCTGGCTCTAGACACATGGCATCCGACTGGAGGATAGACGTAAGTGTTGCTTTGGGAGACTTTCTCAGTCTTGGGCGTCATACCAGTCAAAGGTCCCTGGACTGCATTATGAGGGCCTGCCCCTGTCCTGTGAGCTAGGCAGGGGCCTGGTATGTAATGCCCCTGGCCACATCTTTGCCCTGATCTTAGGGCTGGCTCTTACTAGTGAGCTTCTATTCATCTTGAGTCCTATGGTAAGGATATTTTATTTTGAGATGATAATAAAGGTTATAAATTTTCAGAACCATCTTGTTAGTGTTAGTGACTATCTATCATCTGTCTATCTATCTATCTATCTGTCTATCTATCTATCTATCTATCTATCTATCTATCTATCTATCTTCTATGTATCTATCCTCTTTACTGTCTCCCTCCCTTGATGCACATGAGTACCCTGACCAATGTCTTTCCTCTTTTGAAAACAGGATGGTTTGTGTCATCTTCTTATCTTTCTTCCATGGCCTAGCACTGATATTTGTGCACTTACCTTAATGTTGGTCTAGTTTGGCTATCCCAAACCATTACATCTCTCTGCTTTCAGCAATGCACCTCATCTCTTTGCCAGATAACTTATAGCAAGGTGGGTCAGGAAAGTGGATGCTTAAGGAGCCAGGCGCTGTGCAATAGCACTTAATGTCATGAAAGAAGACCTGTTTCCCCTCCTACATATACTTTCTCTTAAGTTTTCCTGGCAAGGACGTAGGCAGACATTGTATCTTTGGATTTAAGTCCACTACAAAGTTCAGCTAGAGTTTGAGACTGGAGGACACCCAGTCTTGCTATTAAGAAGACCTTTGCTGGATGCATAACTCACCTCATTGGGCACATACAATTAAAAGGAGGGCCCCCAAGGAGAGGGATGGTGGGGGTGGAATGGGGAGAAATGAAATGTTTAGTGAGAGCCTACTTTCTGCTGGACACTTAGCCTGCCTTATATTTTTCATCACTGACATCTCAAACTGGTGCCCCTCACCCCCACCCCAATGCTGTGTTCCTGCAGATCTCATAAAAATATGATTTCCGGGGCACCTGGGTGGCTCAGTCTGTTAAACCTCCAACTTTGGCTCAGGTCATGATCTCAAGGTTTGCGAGATCTGTCAGCACAGAGCCCCTTCGAATCCTCTGTCTCCCTCTCTCTCTGCCCCTCCTACTCCCCCATGCACACATGCGTGCACACACACACACTCTCTCTCTCAAAAATAAACATTTTAAAAAGCGTATGATTTCCATTTCTTGAAGTTCAACTTCATATCCCAGCACCCCTCATTGTTCCTCAAACATTCAAATAAACATTCAAAAAACAGACCAAATATCCAGTTTATTAAGCATTTACTGAGCACTCATCCACTGCTCCACACAGTGTCAAGGATTGTAGAGGATAAAAAACAAGCACTGGGACACAGTCTCTGCTGCCTCCACAGAGCTTACAGTCTGACAAATAAATACGGCATCAGTTAAAACACTGACTGGAATTAAATAGAGTTGTAATAAATATAGGAATCTACTTCGTAGATTATTCATGCATCCAAGGGAACCTTCCATGACTATCTCTGGGTCCACTTAAAGAATGAAGTCTTTGAGGATAAGCCTGGAAGAGAATGCGACCCCACATCGAGGGTAAGAAGTACCCAGAGAATATCACAGGAAGGGACACGGAACATTTGAAATGACACGGAGAACAAGGAGGCTTCCTGGTCTCAGCATTCAGAGCTGGTAGAATCTCTCCATCCAGGCCAAGAGAATGTCCACTTCTCCAAAGGCTTTGGTCTGGGCTGCTTCTATGTCCAACTAAAGAGAAAGGAGAATTGAAAATCTACCATATCAGCCACAAGAATCAATTTCCTTCCCACCCACCACTCCTGGAGCTGACCTGACTCCAAGTCCTGCGCTGTATCACCTTTGGGATGACCTCTGATGAGTTCACCTCCCACCCCATCATTTGTTCCTTGGCAGGGGTGGGGTGGGGGAGGTAGTGAGGACCCACGGACCGGTGAGTGGCAGTGGGTGAGCAAGGGAGACACATCTGGAGTTCCTGATAACAAGAACTCTAGAACCCCAGTGCTGGGTGGATCTTGCTACCTCCTGAGTCTAACTGTGCAGATGAAGAAACTGAGGCCCTGGTGGCCCTTTTCCTCTGTATGTTATTACCCTTCACCATTGATTTTTAGGCTGATATATCTGTTCTTTAAAAAAGTGATCAAAAACGTGTCTTTTGGGAGCAGGGGTCTGGGGATGAAATCTGGATTCTCTTTGTTGTCTTTATTTGGGAGACACTAATATATTTCCCCACGCTTTTCTTCCCCCTCACAAACTAGACCATTTGAGCATTATGGAAAACACTGAAGATACGTGGTGTGTTTTGGGGGCAGGGAACCTGTTTCAGACTCCCAACTGCCTAGTTCAAGTATTCAGAAAACTCACACAGGGAGAGTCCTTGATAATGAAATCATCTTGTAGGGAAATAGAAAAGCATTTTAAAGTGAACAGTGGCACAAACGTAGACCATGTACTTTGTGGAGCTTGTGCAAACTACATGATATTAATGCAAATACACCTGTACTTGTGCTAAATTAGGTGGCTTTGGGGCACGCCTGGTGGAGACACCTGCAGTGAATTCTGCATTAGACCTCTGAGGCACCCTCGTGTGACAGTTCAGGCTAGTCTACTCATGGATAGGCAGGCTCTCAAATTCTGGCATTGGTTACCTGTTTAAATGCTCTCTGGAACAGCAGAAAGCGCCTGCGTGCACTGTCACTGACGGAAAACATCTTGTTTTCCTGCTAGATAATAGAAAGCAAATTGTGTCAAGTGTTGGATAGCGGCAGAGGCAAGCCCCTCCCACTCCTTCCTAGTGATGCCAGAGGGGTTCCCAAGGTAGGCTCTGCATCCCACATTCTCAAAGTAGCCAACACTGAACTCCCACCCGTGGGGGGGGGGGGGCTGACTCTTATTTTTATCATAGCCATCTTGCCACATAGGGATGATCATCTATCTACTTTTTATAGGCAAGAAAAATGAAGCCCAGAGAGGTTGACTGCTCTGCAAAGAGCTATCCAGCTGATTAGAAGCAGACCTGAACTTGAACCTAGGACTACTAGTGTCCAGAGCCTGCACGCTCTTCCACCCCAGCACTTAATCCCTGTTGTGGAATAAATAGGACTAGGCGAGAGGAGGGAGGGGCGCCTGGGTGGCTCAGTCAGTTAAGTCACTGACTTCGGTTCAGGTCATGATCTCAAGGTTTGTGAGTTCAAGCCCCACATTAGGCTCTGTGCTGACAGCTCAGAGCCTGGTTCCTGCTTCGGATTCTGTGTCTCCCCCTCTCTCTGACCATCCCCTGCTCTCTCTCTCTCTCTCTCTCACTCCCCTCTCTCTCTCAAAAATAAACATTTAAAAAATTAAAAAAAGAAAGATGAGGGGAGGGAGGGCGTCTTCTCAAAATATACCATTTCCCGTGGGCACCGGGTCCCAGCTTTGTTCTACTCACGCTGGGCTGTAGTTTTGACACGATGACAATGAAGTTGTTGGCCAGAGTGGAAAATGACTTCCGGACCCTGAAGTCAGCTGCCTTATCCTGGTAGTTTTTGAAAACGGTATTCAAGTAGAACTTCAGCAGGGCACGGACAAGGTAACAGCTCTCGGCATCCTGGGAAGAGTCTCAGTCACTAAAAGCCCTCTGCCCACACCCCCATCCTGGACACACAACCCACATGCCACATGGGGCAAGATAAGCACACAGAGAAAGAGATCTTCTAGGAGCTGTTGGGAAACATTAGATCTGAAGGAGTCTTCAGGGGCATGCAGAGTGGTGCCTTTGACTTACAGCAGGAGCCACAGACACAGAGAGAAGGGACTTGCCAAGCATGACACAACGGTCAGTGGCAGACACAGACCTAAGTCTCAGGACTCCTGACCCCCCATCTGGCTAATATTCTTTCCTCTAGACCACATGGCCTCTCTAATACTGTGGGCGGTGATGGACCCTGAAAGACACTTGGTGGTTCACTGTTGAGAGTCCAGGGAAAGAACTGGAAAGAGAAGTGAGAGAAGAAAACGAATACCCTGGAACACAGGGATTGCACTCTAGCCCTCTTAAGCTCCAGAGTGAAGCTCAGTACCTCACAGGGATCAGGGCTCCGTACATGTGCTCGCTGACTGCCTAGTTGCATAAGGGGAAGACAGTGGGTGAGAAAGACGGATGGGAACCAAAGAGACCTAAGTGGACACCCACTGGCCTACACAAGCAAAAGAGAGATAAAGATTGCTGGGAACTAACTGGAGATTAATCCCCACCACCCTCCTCACCACCACGACACACACACCCATGTAACCCAGATACTGAGGTAAGGACCCAGATATTGACTTCTCTCGCTCACTGCCCAGCCCCGTCCTCTGTAGGCTCAGCCTGGGCAGAAGGGAAGTCTCTATCAGCCTCCCCTAGGCCACCCCTCACCCCTACCTATAGAAGACAAGTGATCAGAGAGAGGCATCGTCCTTCCCCAGCGTCTGATTACCGAGACATTCTGCAGAACCTCCTTGCGCAGCAGCCGGACACTGGTGTTGTGATCCTTAGCTTGCTTTGGGAATAGAAAGAAAAGATGTATCCAGCTTGGGGGGCAGCATAGAAACCAACCTTGCAAAAGCACGCTGACCCCCAAATCTATCTAGTCTGAAATCTCAGAGGCCAGAAGGACCAAGGGAGGACCCAGGAAGGGCTGTGCTGAGTTGGCCCCTGGGGTGAGGGTACAAATTTCTAGCCACAAAAATCACTATGCTTAATCCACACGGGCAGATGGAATCTCAGGAGCTCTCACAGCCCAAAGTTTGATTCCTTTGGTCAGGAAGAAATAAGCCTATTTGGTTTAGGAAGGACTTAGAGGCAGAGCTTTGCCTCCATATTCTACCGGGGTTGGCATGGGGTGGGGGCTGCTCCTTGGAACTACCTCTTGCCATTGGAGCTTTCCCTGCAGCCCAGCCTCATGCTCCAAATCTCGGATTATACTCAAATCACCTTTGTGAGAAAGGAGCTCATTTCCCACCTCCTCAATGCGCAAAAAAGGGAAACTGATGGGGGAGGGGCACTGTGCCCAGTTTCAAGGTCACGATCACACCTAGCTGTCTTGTCCCGCGTCCTCACTCTCCCCTCCCCCAGGCCGCCTCATGGAGTGCCCAGAATCCGAATCATTGTTTAAGGAACACATTTGCCAGTGTGAGTACTGGATCACTTTCAGGACTTGGAGAAATTCACAGCCACATTTCACAAACCGCCCCCTCCCATCTCGGCATGTACCATTCTTTCTACCTTTAGCCGAAGCCTTGGGTAGGTGGGAACAGACTAGCAGGAATCTGGCAAAGCAGTTGGTGAAAACTTCAGTGGGTCTCAAAGAATTTCCCATGACTTCTGGTTGGTGGAGTGCCCTGGCCCCGTGGGACGACGCCCGGATGAATCAGGTTCCCTTCTCTATTCCCCTTGGGCTGTGTTTATGTTCCTAGACATTGACCACTTCCTTTCTAAGCCTCTGTTTCCTTATGTGCAAGAGGGAGTGTGGGCTTGTGACACATCTGACTTCAAGTTATCACATAGGAAAAGAATATACAGCGAGTTACAAAGGGCTCCACGATCATAAGATACCATCCTGCACTCATGGCAACCCCTGCGGCCGGGCCCAGGCCAGCATTTCACTCACCACGAAGTCCTTCATGGTCCAGAAGGCTTCCCAGAGCTCTTGGAGGACAACTCCCTCCACTCGGCAGGGTCCAAATTGGAACTCGTGGCCCTGGATGCCTGGCCCCTGGCTCCAGAGAAGTAGGATCAGACCCAGGCAGAGGAGAGCAGTCCTCGGCACTGGAAAGCCCATCTGTGGCAAAGGAAGGACCAGGTGTGGATCCTGCTGGAAGAAAGAATGGAGACATTCCACTGAGGAAGGTCTTCTGCCCAGCAGGGGCATTCCCAGAGTAATGCCCCTCGGTTCTACCTTGACCAGCTTTGGGAACACACAGGTGTGAAATTTGAGACCAGAATAAGTTTCTAGTGTTAGAACATTCCAAACATGTGGCCTTGCTGTGCACTGGGGTGGGGTGAGGATCTTTGTGCCCTCTATCTTGTACCAGCTGGTCTCACTCTCTCTCTATGCCCTCCCCCACCATGCCCACCCATGTCACACACACCCAGCACCTCCTTCCTCGCTCCCTGACAGTTCTCTCCAGCCAACAACCAGCCAGTCAGAATTTGACCAAAGGCAGGGGACTGGTGGCATTTAATGCGTGTAGGGAGCCCAGACTCTGGAGGAGAGGGACCTCAACTATGCATTTGCTTGCCCGAGCTCTGCCCTAAAGTCACCAGCCACACTTGGGCGGGTCTTTTCTCCACCCCCAACAGAAGGCCATTCTAACTTCCCATCACCAGGGAGTGCAGGGATTGATCCTGGACTCTGGGAGGGGCACAGACAGCAAGTTAGGGGCACACATTCATTCTGCCCCCTCAAGTGTGCGACTCAGCCCTGACTCTAAGAATTAACTGTTCAGGTAACTGAATGAGAGGGAGGGATCAGATCTCCAGGTGACTCATCGTTAAAACTTCTCACTGAAGCTCCAGTTGGGATGACTGTGTAGAGGCACCAAGCTAGACGATGGCAACCCACTGTCTGTTTATCATAACCGAATGCAGGGAGTTCCTTCCCCCTTTTGCTTTTCTTCCTTCTTTCCTCCCCGCTTTCTCCCTCCCTCCGTTTCTTTCTTTCTGACTTCCTTCCGCAAACATTTAAGAACCTGTCTTACTGCGGGCACTGGCCTAACACCTGAAGCCACTCAGTTCTAGCCCTAGCCTTGCAGGAAGGTGGGAGAAGACCGGTTTCTGGAACGACGGCTAACACGTGCCCAGGACGAGTCCCTGATATCCTTTGTCGTGCAGGTCGGTGCCTCAGTGTCTCCCTCAAAGTCTTTCATTCTGTTCCCTCAAACACCACAGGTTTTGCAGCCTCTCTTGAAAATTCATCTTTGGGCTTCACAATCTTCCCGTCCTTCTTTCCACCCAGCCCAGACCCTACTTGGTGTTAAAGCGAGAGAATGCAGCTTCTCATCCTTCCCCCCAGCACCCATTCCCAAGAAAGCAGTGGTCTAATGCTTTGAAGCGAAGCAGTCAGGACCCCCCATCACTCACCCCAGGTCCTGGAAGCGACACTCGAGGGCTTGCTGTTAGGGGGCGGCTGGTTCCTGTTATGGAGGGGCAAGCTGGACAGGCACCCTCACCGTTCACTGATCAGGGGTGTGACTGTGGGTGGAAGGTTCTTCGCCGGGCACTGAAAGCCGTTTCGGAAGTAAAGATGTGCCGGCTAGCAAGGCTTGGTGGAGATCATATATATGGGGGCTGGGGGGAGGGGCAGAGGAAAAAGGGGAGGTGGAGAAAGGGAAATTGGTCATGCTCTCCTAGAGAATTACTTCACCGCCTACTCACCCTTCACTTGAAGACAATGGGCAAATGGGGAAAACAGCCCCTGAGGTGAGATGAGACCTTGGGCTGAGCTCTGGCTGTGCCACCAGCTCTGTGACCGGCGGCAGGTCTCCCAACCACCCTGAGCCTCAGTTTCTGCATCTATAACATTAAAACCCACAAACAAAAGCCTGTCCCACCTCTCCCAGAGGGCAGGTGCAAAGAGGAGATGGGAAAGTGACTGGATGCTTTGTGAACTCCATACACAGGTAATTACACAGAGCACCTTAGTCTCCTTACTCCAGACTCTTTCCATAATTATGCCCGACTACTGATGGGACAGTAAACTAGAGACTCGGGATAGCCTATACACACCTCTGGGATCGCTCAGGGCCAGGAAGTTTAGAATATTCCCTGACATGCGCCCACCCATGGCCCCCTCTCAGGTTCAGGAAGAATAAGGAAGTGCGTGCATGACCAGGTCTGGAGAGCTGAGGGACCCTGGTGTCCGGGTGGGTTAGCCTCGGTCTGTGCTGCTTGGCTGGGGGTCACCCAGGACAGGTGGAAGTGAGAGGTGTCCAGAGCATCAGCACAGTCAAGAAGCCCAACCTTATGTCCAGCAGGCAAAGCTCTCAGACTTCAGTCACCCCATGTGTAAAGTGAAGGGTAAACCGGAGTGGTGTTCCTAAATCACGTTGCACAGAATCTGGTCCAGGGTGTCAGGAGACTTCACAGTGAGTAAATTAGTATCGGCTGGCACGTGCCAGCCCCTCTCAGAAACATGGCATGCTCCTGAGAATAATGAAGACTGAGACGTCCCATTAGGGCTGAGGAGTTGAGGACGTGCATTTAACTTTAATTTTTTTTAATGTTTTACTTATTTCTGAGAGAGAAAGGAAGACAGTGTGAGCAGGGGAGGGTCAGAGAGAGAGGGAGATACAGAATCTGAAACAGGCTCTAGGCTCTGAGCTAGCTGTCAGCACAGAGCCCGACGCAGGGCTCGAACCCACAAACCGTGAGATCATGACCTGAGCCGAAGTCGGATGCTTAACTGACTGAGCCACCCAGGTGCCCCTAACTTTGTTTAATACTATATTTCCCATGAGAATTTGACCCTGTCCTTGGGACACATTGTCAGCCAACGCTGGACCCCGAATCAGGGAATGACAAACTGCAGACAAAGAATAAGCTAAGAAAGGCTTACCTGTGACCTAAGAATGGTTTTTATGTTTTGTAATGATTGGGTAAAAAAATGAGAAATGAAAAGTGTGTGAAATTCAAATTTCAGTGTCCATGAGTACAGTTTTATTGGGACAGAGCCACACCCAGTTTGCTTACATATTGTCTGTGGCTGCTTTGTGCTACAATGACAGAGACCAATAGATGTGGCTGAGACCGTGTGGCCCATAGAGCCCAAAATATTTATACTCTGCCCCTTTGCTGCCGAGCAAAGAAGCTGCCGAGTCCTGTTCTAAATGACCTTCCCACACAAACATCTTTACTGTTTTTTTTCTCTTTTCAAATTTTTATTTAAATTCTAGTTAGTTCACATACAGTCAAAATTGGTTCCAGGAGTAATAGAATTCAGAATTCAGTGATTCATCGCTTACATACAACACCCGACCGTACAAACACCTTTAAACCTGGGTTCAGGCAAGAGACATGGGACTAGAATGTGACACGAGGGGTGGGAAAATTTTCCCCAGTTTAGTGGAAAAGGAAGAACAGAGTCCTGGGGGTCTTGACCCTTCCGCATCTCTCCAGTTGGCTGACCCTTTCCAATCTTTCCGACACCGACACTCCTTCCCTTCATCACACGTGCAATGGTGTTTATTTTCTTAAGCAGACAAAATACTTGCTGCCATCCTTGGTCTGCTGCTGCTGCCTGTATGAGGACCAAGCTTGAGTCCTTTGCTCCTGGAAGACATACGTCTTGCCTTCCGGTCCTAGGCAGGAGCCCACACCACACCCTTTCCTCCCCTTCAGGATCCGGAGCACTGCTAAAAATCCTTCACTTCTACGGTAAGAAGATGCCCAGAGGCATTCAAGAGACGGGAAAGAACACAAAGTGAAAGTGTAGCAGCAATAGACAAGGGGGAGACAGGTGAGGACTGGAGAGACAGACAGCCGAGGCAGGAAGCGGAGAGGCAAAGGGAGCCCCAGGGCTCACCAGACAGCGCTAGCCGACTGTCTGCTGATAGGCAGGGGGGCAGGAGGGATGAGCTGTTAGCAGGGCAGGCTAGAACAGAGGCTTGAGGTCATGGGATATAGAGTGATAGGTTCCAGGATATCCACCTGAGGTCATGAGTAGCTAACTTCCTAGAGAAGGAATCATATAATATGGAAATTCCTGGCAAACAGGTGCCTCAGCTTAACATAGCATGATTACCTGGGAAGAGAGAACTCAGGGACCTTGGCCCAGAGTCAACTCAGGTTGCTGGTTATAAGCGCGAGCTTAGCACACAGACAGACTTGGGTTCAAAACAGGACTGAGTTGCCTCCGAGCTGTCCATGTTTCAGCTTTCTCATCTATAAAATCAAGTCCTATATAGGACACAATGACAGCCTGTTACTCTAAGTGTGGTCTGTGGAACAGCAGCAACAGTGGAATTTGGAAGCTCATTAGTAATGCAAAATATGGGGCGCCTGGGTGGCTCAGTTGGTTAATCGTCTGACTCTTAATTTTGGCTCAGGTCATGATCTCATGGTTGTGGGATCAAGCCCCCTGTTGACCTCCACACTAATAGCTTGGAACCTGCTGAAATTCTCTCTCTCTCTCTTTTTGCCCCTCCCCTGCTCATGCTTGCTCTCTCTCTCTCACCACTAAAATAAACTAGCAAAAAAGAAATGCAGAATCTCAAACCCTTCTCCCTAAACTACTGAACCAGATTGTGAATCTTAAGAAACTCCAAGGTGATTCTTAAATATGTTAAAATTAAAATATATTAAAATAAATATATACGTTCATGTAGTAAATGCATAACAAACGAAGGTTTCAAATGAAAGCAGGAGGATTAGAGCAGTGACTCTCAATAGGACAATTTTGTCCCTAGGGTACATATGACAATGTCTGGAGATGTTTTTGGGGTGTCCTAACAGGGAAGTATGGGAGGCAGAGGTGCTACAGACACAGAGTAGAATGGGCCAGGGATGCCGCTGAACATCCTAGGGCCCTCACCACAAAGAATTAAGTGGCCCAAATGCCAACAATGCTGAGACTATGAAATCCTGGACCAGAGGAAAGTAGTGGCTGTGTGGGAAACAGCTGAAATAATGCCAGAGAAGGATAAGAAGGGAGCCCTTACTGGGGCAGGGGGAGTGGAGAGATAACATGGTCAGGGATGTGGAGAAAGCAAGATGGCGACTTGGGTAGCAGAGCCCTGAGGCTCCTGGGAGGGAGCGGATGGGCAAGGGCTGACCTGCTGGCTCACCCCTGAGGAGGCTCCAAGCGTCAGATTTCAAAAGGTTGGAGAAAGTGGGGCTGGTACTTCGGTCTAGATCCACAAATTTTTACCCAAACTCCATCCTAGACCAGACTAGAACCAGAGGTTCTTCTAATCTCTCTAACCTCCATGCTCTCTGGAACTTGGGGGAATTTCTTTTGCAAAAATATTGGGTGGGAGAAAAGTTCCCTTGAGAATAAACTTTGATTTACAAGGCCACCTCCCTCCATCCCCAAAATATTCTTTATTAGATTTAGAAGGTTTATTCTGTTTGTCTCATATCACCTCTGTCATGTATATCTCTCTGCAGAGTTTCAATTTTATGTTTGAGAAGTAAATTTACTCCTACCCCCACATCTCCTGTAAATTCCTCTAAATCTATATAGAGTGAAAGGGACTGAATCAGGATGGAGAAGGGTCCCATCTCCAATCCCAGGTGAAGCAATAAAGAACTCACTCTTACACCTGAATACACCTTCTTCCTGATCAATGGAAATGCCCTATAGGAGAGAAATGATGAGCCCATGGACTAGGATTTCCTGATAGCCAGGAGCTAAAAGAAAGTTACATCATCATTTTTCTTTCAGTGAATTGAGTTTAATCTTTGCTCTAAAGATGATTTTTATCTCCCTATTTGGCTGGGGAACTTATGCAGTAATATATGTGGGGTACGTGGGCATTTTGTCAGCTCTTTCTCTGTCTCGGCTGCTATCATTCCAGGCACAGAGATGAAACATGGGTGTCAAGGGTTAGCCTCCTTAGACTAGCACTCGGCCATTCTACCTTCTCTGTAGTTGGTGGAGAAAATGATGTATGATTACAGACATTTCAGGGGATGAAAGTAAAAGCAAACAAATTCTTTTTACATCTATACAGCATGCGTAGATCTACAAAATACTGCCAAATAAATGTTCTCATTTGACATTCACTGTAGCCTTTTGAGATAAGGAGGGCAGGTATTATTTCTCTGCGGAGCAGAAAGCTAAGAGTCAGGGGGCGCCTTGGTGGCTCAGTCAGTTAAACATCTGACTCTTGATTTCAGCTCAGGTCATGATCTCATGGGTCCGTGAGATGGAGCCCCATCTCTGTGCTGCACTGACAGCACAGAGCCTGCTTGGGATT